TGATCTATCCATCTTGTTGGGGATCTTCCTCGTGATCTTCGGCCTTCTACCTTTCCTTGTATTATGAGTCTTTCCATGTTTTCTGTGTTTGCTCTCATAACATGCCCAAAATATTTTAATTGTTGGAGATGGACTTTACTAGAGAGTCGTTGGCTAACTTTTAGCTCTCTTAAAATTGAATTATTTGTTCTACGGTCGGTCCAAGGAATTCGTAACATTCGTCTCCAACAGAACATTTCAGTGGCGTCTATCTTTCTTCTCTCCGATTGTCTCAGAGTCCAAGATTCACATCCGTAGGTCAGTATTGGGAATATTAAGCAGTTGATCAATCATCTTTATCGCTCTTGAAATTTGACAGTCCTTCCATAATTTGCTCATTTTTGTTGTGGCAACTTTTGCTAGATCACATCTACGTTTAATCTCTTCTTGTAATCACCCTGTGTTTGTGATTAATGATCCCAGATATAAGTATGAGCTCACTACCTCGAACCGGTAAAATGTGGTTATGTGTGGATGATTGTTGTGTAGTCTATCCACTATCATGATCTTTGTCTTTGATATGTTTAATTGCAGACCAAATATTTGACTTTCGTTTTCGATCAGTCGTATACGTTCCATCAGCTCTGCTTGACTATTTGCAAGCAGGGCTGTGTCATCTGCGAAACGTAGGTTGTTTAGTTTATGACCATTTATTGAGATGCCCTTTTCCCATCCTTCAAGTGCTCTTCGCATAATATACTCCCCATATATGTTGAATAATTGTGGAGATAGTATACATCCTTGTCTGACACCCCGTTCTGGATGAAACTCATTCGAAAGTGTGTTAAGTACTTTAACTGATCCAGTAGTGTGTTCATATAGTTCAGTTATAAGCGTAATTAAATGTTGTGGTACGCCTACTTCTTTTAGTATTCGCCATAGGTGTCTCCACTTGACCCTGTCGAACGTTTTACGGTAATCTATAAAACAGATGTATAGTGGGATGTTGAATTCCCTAGATTTCTCGATTATCTGTCTTATATTCAGCAGGTGTTCTCGAGTGCCTCTACCTTTGGTAAATCCAGTTTATTCTTGTGCAATTTCTCTTTGACGGAATGTTTTCAGTCTCTCATTGATTATATGTAGCATTATCTTGCTGGCATGGGATATAAGAGAGATAGTTCTATAATTGTCGCATTTATGGAAGCTGCCTTTTTTATGTATGGTCGTTTGTCCAGTCCTAAGGCCATTGTTTGGAATGCCATATTTGGTTACAGAGTAGATGAAGTAACTTTACGCCGGTTTCTTCTGTTTCTTTAAGCATTTCTGCTGATATCATATCTGGACCTGGTGCTTTGTTATATTTGAGCTTGTTGATAGCCTGTCTTACTTCATTTTCGAGTATATGGTGGAATTCTGGTGGAATTACAACCTTGTAAATTAAAGGACAGAAGTCAGACGAAAATTAAATTTAAATCAAAGGTCAAGTGAAAGGGACGATTATCGCAAAACTCCAACGCATCTTTTTTTATATAAAAATATCCGAAGAATACGACTGTAGTGCCAAAATGTCTGTAGACTAAATAATTTTATCAAGTCATATTACTTATGTAACTATTATTGCACAGACTACACGAATAAATTAAAACACATTTTGATTTTTTAGCAATATCTTCATTTTAAAAGCGCCATCTATAGGCTAGGCCTATAATTGTTCCTAATCGACATCTCCTAAAATTGTTCCTAAAGATAATTCATAAGAGAATCTACTTCTTCTTCAAGTGCGATCCCCGCGATGGAGGTCGGCAATCATCATAGCTATTCGGACTTTTGAGACAGCTGCTCTGAAAAGCTCAGCTCAGTTGGAGCAAGAATGGACCAACAACCAGACCAAGAATGGTGATTAGAGTACGCATCGGAAAAGCTAGATCCACCTTCAATCAGATGGGGGTCTTCTTCAAGAGTTACAACCTCTCTCTCTTGATGCAAAGGTAAGAATGTTGCGATGCTATGTCTTCTCTGTTCTTTTTTATGGTGTTGAATGGATGACCTTGAACGAAGATATGTGCAGAAAACTAGAAGCATTTGAAATGTGGCTATATCGGAAAAGAATCCAGATGTGCTCTCCTTCAAGCCATTCTGCAAGGAAAAATATTTGGAAAACGAGGTCCAGGAAGAACATCTTGGTTAAAGAACCTCAGAATCTGGTTTAATACAACATCTGTGCAGCTTTTCTGCGCAGCTGCAGATAAGATAAAGATTGCCATGATGATCGTCAACATTCGTAACTGATAGGCACACCAAGAAGAACAATAGGCTAGGCCGGAAAACTTGTCACTTTATATTCGTTTATCATTTTGATAGATATCCTTTTTTGTTTGTTTGAAGCCACACATGAACAGTGTGCAAATTTTGCAGATAACTTTTATCTATAGCTGCGCCATCTATAGAACAGAACTCTTAACTTTACTCTCGTAAGTATTGGTTTCTTTTCTTTTTAACAAACATACGAACGATAAAACTGTTGTGCTGGTTGACTACATTTCAATTCCACGGTATCTTTACTTTTGAATATTAACACCTTCTTGTATCTGAAAAACTTCGCAAAAGAACAATTGGGAGCAGAAAATGAAACAAACATTTTATTGTGTATGTTTATAATTAATTTATATGATAATACATCAAATTATAAATAACAAAAATGAATTTCCAACAAGAATATATAAATTATAGAAAAAAAGTATTTGGAGGTGTTGGAAATGCCATGTACTTACTTCGACAATTTGGTTACAACATTTTTATTATATATTATACAGGTATTATAATTTTTTATCGATACAGATGTCTACATGTGATTCTTGAAGATACATTTTACCATAACATTTTTTTAGTTGTAAGGGTTGACATTTAAGCAACAGGAAATGCAATTCAGCCCACTGTTCCTGCAGGAGCGATGTATTCAAAAAGGAACACAAAATATGTCACTGTGCATTTACCATTTAAGTGCATTGATACTCCGTCAAGTCACCTACTACATATAGTAGATTAGACTGCGAGTGTATAGAAGTCATCAGATTTTTTAAAATAAAACCTAAATGAACTCTTATTAATGTTAATACACAGCTTAATAATAAATCGCCTAATTTACCAAATTGCATCTAAAAAAATTGTTAAATTTATTTACTTTTTATATTAATTCTTTATACTGTCATTTGTCAACAGTGTGATTATGACATTTAACGGTTGGGTTTGATATAACCTCTACTTTCATTTGGGTGTTATTCCCAAAACCTCCAAACAAGAATATAAACAATCAAGCAACTTGGCAAATGTACATAAGCAAAAGAGATTAAGTCTCAAAACAAAATTTTAGATGCACCATAAGATATGGGTCAGCCATGGTGGGGGAATAGGCTCGTTTAATTTAAACATCCGATGGTACCCGAACAGTCACGAGCACAATTACCAAAGTATGTCCAAATATAAGCAGAACTAAGTTAAGAAGTTGCTTTAAGCTCTACCTTGGAAAATATTCGTTTTTGAGTTGACGGTGGATTCAAACTTCGACTTCAATTATTAAAGAAACTATATTATTAAAACTATATCTAAATTTTTACTAAATTCTCGTAGATATATACTGGTATCTCAAAATACACAATTAAAAATAAGTTCTTCTATCCTTAATACAATATAAACCGAAGTATGCTCATACCAAGCTGAAGATATGAACGCAACTGTAAAAATGACTTACTGCGATCCAAATGTAATACTTTATCAATGCCATCAGGTCTAAAATAAATAGAAAATCAGAGAGAAAAAATTTCGATTATATAGACTGAATTTATTCTTCCCAAGATTCTAGGAAGAACTACTACATTTTAACCCCTTACCGCATAGTGGAACAATACTTAGTTACTTTAGAGATCGAATATTATTTTAAAGTATTTATGCATGACACGTCCATATAGAGGACATATTTCGTACAACCGGTAGTAAAGCGCCATCTCAATGCAGCAAAGTGAACTTTGCTGAATGAAAATGAATGAAAATTTGCAAATGGCAGCGATCTGGCAGCTGTTCATAAGAATTGTGCAATTTGATATTCAATTATCGTTTCTACTGAATATCTTTGTACAAAAAAATAGCAACATCAAGGGATATACCTTCAAGAAAGAATTGCTGTACGTATTTTCACGTATTTCTTTATATTTTGGTATTTTTTTTATCAAAAATATGCTTGTGCCATATATGCCACAATATGAACTGTCGTGCAAAATTCTCTTTCATATATGGCACACTATGCGTTCTGAACTAGGTATTACTTTTTTTATTTTAGATAATGGATCCAAAAAAGTTTTATGGTAAAACTCTAGTTGTAGTGGACATACCAGATGGTAGTGAAGCCGAAGGGCTATCAGATGATGATATTTCCCCTATTATATTAGCTCCAGAGTCAGACTATGAAGATGATATAATAGATAATAATGAATCAGATATTATTATCCCAGAAACGGATTTAGAAAGCAACTCGGATACCGAAAGTGATACTTCTTTGGACGACTTACAACGTAATCTAATAAAGAATAGAAATAAAAATTATCCAACGTAAAAAGAAGGAAATTTGGTAACATCAGATGATGACCATCTAAGTTTCAAATCGTATCAGAAACTTTTGAGAAGCTCCAAAGCAAAGTTATTATAAAAACTAATTATATTTATGTCCACAAAAGTACCTAAGATTGCGAAGTACCTACGATAGAAAGAGACAAACCACAATTTTACAATTATATAAATTCATCATTTAAATACATATATTTCAGCACTCAAATAAATCCGTAAATATAGTTTAACTTTCTTTAAACAAAAAACGAATTAACTTGAAATTTCAGTTAAATCTACTAACTGAAACTTTCTCCACCAAATTTTGTTTTCACATTATTGACAATTTCATTTACCTACCCATTTTGCCGAGTTCTTAATTGCAAACATAATATAAAAATAAAATATAGATACGACAGAACTTAATTTTCATCAGAATCAGCACCGATTTTCTTTTTGACTCTCTTGGCCTTTCGAATGGTATACCTACATTTCTTGTATCGACACCTGTCTCTGTCGGGACTTCTGTCGTCATTAGAACATTCAGGATGTAGCCGATGCATGGTTTTCCTTGACCTAACGCTACTGCTAGAGCTCGGTCCGGTGCCGCAACCGGAATCTGAAACGCTAGTATGTCGTCGCTTAGCTGGAGTTGCGTATTCGACATCGCTGTCGCTAGTCTCACTGTAGCCTTGATCTGCATTTTCGGGGGAAGCGGACGAGCCGTTTAAGGAGCTTGCGCCGTTGGTTTGAGGCTGGCGCTGGTAGTCTTCGTTGGAGTGTCGAGTTGTTGACGTGGAAGATCTAAAAATTAATATTCTCAGTGAGTGGCTGCAGACCATAAAATACCATATAGAAAAAGCAGTATATATTATATATTTTTGGATTAGGTAAAAGAAAGATTTTGTTCTATTATATCCTGTTTCAGTTGTTGCTCTGAAAACCTCAGAGTCTTCTAACATTATTGAAACAAATTGTTAACATGCTCCTTTTCTAATTTTGCTGCACTGTACTGAGGACGACCAATAGTCAGAAATACTTATTTTCGGTTGTCTCTCAGTTTATCTTCTTCTTATTGCGCCGTCTCCTTTCGGAGGTTGACTAACCTCAAGTCTTTTAGCCACGAGTTCTGGCGTCTTCCAACTGAGCTTTTGCCCTGCACTTTACCTTCCAATATGATTTGGAGTAATTCATATCTTTCACCTCTCAACAAATGACCCAACTATTGTATTTTTCTCTCTTTGGTTATGCTGAGTAATATCATCATCATGAATCATCTTATATACATATTTTATTATTGTCAAGGCAGGTATTAACGCCTCTTGCTGGTGCTTGAAGTGAAATCACTCTGACGGTCGAAGCGGTTATATACAGAAGATCACGGCGCGCTTCTTGCGAAATGTTCTTAACAGCACTTCTTATGATTGGCTCTGTACGGTTCAGGTTTATTGTATGTCCTGTATTTGAGACATGTTGTGCAAGGGACGACGTTTTATCCCTCCTTTCGATGTTCTTCTCGTCTGATATGGATTCTTGGATTGGTTTGTCCGATGTACGATTTGTCGTAGTCCCCACATGGAATCTCGTATACTCCTTGATCTTCTAACGATATTTGTGTTTTTGCCAATTGTATAATAGTTGAGATTTTTCTGTTAGTATTCGATACCGTTTTTATTTTGTGTTTTCTTAACACCCTCCCTATTTTCTTTGTTGTCTCCTTTACATATAGTAAAATGGTTTTTGCAATCGATTTCGTCTTTTGTCGGATCTCTAATTTTTCTTTGAGCATTCTTTATGACGCTGCCTCATTTTGTGTACCTCAATACTATCCATTGTTTGATGTGTTACAAAATAAAAGACTATGTAAATTCTAAAAGCGATACCTTTCGCATCGACTTCCTTTTGGAATTACCTTATTTGGAATATTAATATAGTACCAGAACAAAAATATTATCAGAATAAAATAAAACATGACCAAGTCAAAATAACCTACCTTAAAGTTCTCGTACTACCGTTGGCTACCTCCAATATGTTTATTAATACGTCTCTAGAACCATTCAAAGGTGTGGGTAAAATATTTACAAAATTATTCGCTTCTACTTCTTCACCGCCTTCGATATCGTTTAAATTCCTAGCGTCTTCATCAGAGTCTTGTTCAATCAGTCTGTAAAAATATGACGTGAGAGAATATACGTGCATACGAATGGTACAGACAGTAGAAAATATACAATCTAGGAAATTGAAGGAATGAATATGTACTCTTTAACATAGGATTAATATTTATCGCCGGAGGACAAATTTTCAAACAGCAAATGAATAAATCTAATAAATAATAGAAAAAGGCAGAACACTCTTCACTTCAACTTGTAAACTAAAAGAACTTACCTGAAAATGGACCTTTCCGAACCAGTAATGCCGGTACTGGTACTAGGAGTATCGAGAGAATTTTCAGTCGAGTCATTATCAGTCATATGTTTTACACTCCTAGTAAAGTATTTGGATGGTCTAGTGGCTGACCTCTTATGCTTCTTCGGAGTCGAAGCAGCAACAGATGATCCGTCCCTTTCTGATGAACACTTCTTGTGGGATTTTTTATGGAAACCGTTATGCTTACCATACTTGGATTTGGCCGATTTTCTTTTATGGAGTTTTTGATGATATCTATGGAAAATTGTTAGTTATTAGGTAAACGAAACACAATCTGGTATAAGGATTGTGCAGTGAACACCCAATAAAATTTCATAAAACCACAGTTTTTTTTAATCTCATAAATATTATAGTATCATTAGAATATTTTTTTAAAATCCCATAAATATCATAGTATCATTAAAAAATAACTTTATTTATTAATCATATTTATTTACACTACGTCGCTGGATGCACGTGCCAAGTACGGAATTCAATTGAACCCATACAGTAGACAGTAATCCTGTAGTTAGAAAGAGAGGTCTTAAAATCCGTGAGACCAGCGATTCACCTATTTACAACAGTGAGGATTTGTGCAATACAAAAAGAAACCGGAGCGTTTCGATTCACAGTTTGGTATTTTCTGTTGTGGAATTTAGTAAATCTTAAATACAATATTAGTAGTTTTAGGATAGAGCCTTATTCAGTGGAATTTACAAAAGAAAAAGCAAATAGTTTTAAAGATCGACTTGTATAAAAAATAATGGACTACCTCAGTCGGAGATACATTTGGTACAAGAATGTGGCATAAGAAACAAAAAGTTTATGCGTCGTTTTAAAGTTGAAAAATATAGAAAAACTTGTGCACGTGCTTGTGTAGAAGTGACAAACATTCTTTGTTTTATTTCCACGTTTAGTGTTTTCAAAGAATTAAACTACTTTTTTAATGTGGACAAAAACGGGCGTTCGGGATTTATCCCACTTATTAACAGAAATTTAAAAAAAAAACAGCTCTTCTCAAATTCATTTAAAAAATGAAGTGCATATTCATGTTTGCCCATTTTTAGATTCTGGCTATCAAAAATTAATAAAAGACTTTAATGACCAAGTTAAAAAAATCGTTACATTTTGTCCCTTCTTATCGATTGTGTAAAATTTTGTGAAGCATTCGAAATAGCTTTGCGGAGACATGACGAGTCACCAGAAAGCTTAAATCCAGGAACGTGCAGTGGCCTTATTGATTGTATATCAGAAACCGAGGCTATAAAACATTTGCAAGGAAATAATGTTTTTAAAGGTACGTCTAAATCAGTTCAAAATGGCATATTAGGTGCTATTGTATCTGTTTGCCAGGAAGAGATTAAAAACAGGTTTAAGACACACGGTTTGTATCCATTCAGTGTGATGAAACCACTGATGTTTCTACCTATCAGCAAACTATTTTAAGATATGAGCGGAATGGCCAAATTTACGAACGTTTTTGGGAATTTTTAGAACCTGTTTCACATAGTACCAGTGACAGCCTCAGAAATTAAAAAGAGTTGAAACTGCTTAATATTTCCGTAAATCAGCTAGTAGATCAAAGCTATAATGGAGCGGCTGTAATGTCAGGAAGAAAAGTATTACAAGAAATATCACATATTTCATCACATCATACGATTCTGTGAATAGAAGAGAAATGTTTAAAGCAATGAAAGAGCTAGATAGTTAGTAGATAGACTACACGGTTCTAAGCCCACCCACAGACTACGCGGTTCTGAGTCCCCTCCCTAAATCGCATGTCCGACCATGACGTACGAGGGCTCGTTGGAAAGGGGATGAAAAATGGGGTTGAACGCAGTATGTGCCGTGCGCATCGGAGCATGCCAAAAGGGCATTACGTCATTTCTTCGTTTCTATTGGACCGATCGTGACGTACGAGGGCTCATTGGAACGGAGAGGAGACGGAAAATACGTTAACACAAAAACAAAGATGGCAGCATTGTCAAATGGGCGCTATAACGTATCTTCGTTGATATTGGTCTAATTTTGACGTATAGGGTGTCGTTGACAGAAGCGAAATAGTTAGCTTCTGTATTTAAAAAAATATTCCGACAGCACCAGCAACAAGATGAAATTTTAACACACGAACTGTCAGAATAATTTTTGAAAATAAAAAAGAACTTCTAAAAAATTGTCTCGATAGTATATTAGAGAGTAGTGGGAATGATTTCACCACAGTAATCCAAGCAGAGACGTTGCTGGGATATTTAAATAATGCAAGTTTCATTTATTGGCTTACAGTTTTCGCTCAAATAATGCCCTAATGTGAAATCATTTTTAATTTCAATCTCGGTCTTTGGATGCCGCTAATATGAACGAGTTTTTAAACATTTGTCAAAGCCATTTCAAATATCCTAACTTAGATCGTCCACCTTCACCACCGAAAGATCGTCATCAGTCAGTATCATATTCTGCACAAACAAAAGAAGTGTGTGACAGCCTGCCATAAAAAAACATAAAAAAGAGAAAAATTTCTGAAAAAAATATTAGTGGTTTAAAAAAAAATACTTATAAGTACAAATAAAATTTTCCAAGATATACATACTATGCTGTAAATCCAATCCTGAATGACTTCACGGACGACTTTTGACATTTCGCTTCTAGAGAGCATGAGATAGCGTTTGGTCAATAACTCTAATTCGAAGATTCACATGATTCGATTGGTTAGTAGAGCATTTAATTTAAATGGCAATCAATAATTACGTAAGTATATATAAATATGGTTTCTAAATATATGAATATATTTTGATATATTTGACAATATATTTGTTTTCTTTAAGAAATAATCAGTGAGAATTTTTTGTCGCTATTAATTAAGTGTATTTAAAAAACGCGGTACTAAAAGAAGACTGTGAGAACTTTTTACTTACTTTTTTCTATAACTTGTACTTTTGCTATGGGCTAACTTGGCTAGTGTACATTTTTTCTTAGAAATCAATTGCGTTATTCTATTTGATCGATATTTCTTTGGTTCCTCGGAACTGCATTTGCCATTTTTGAATATTTTAGAAATAAGTTTAGACCAATCCTCTTCTTCGCTATCGCTATCGGTCGAAAACGTGCCGTCGGTCTGGGAATCCCAGCCTTCGATTTCTCTTTGAATTAGCGAATCGAAAAAGGCCATCATTTTGGAATCTTCGCCGGTTGATTGGTCACTGTAGTCGTGATTTATACGCTAGAAGAAAATATACGCTATTACGCTATTACTATACGTGATTTATACGCTAAAGAAAAAATAGTAGTTCAGGTTCAGATTTTGACTCTGACAATTTTGTAAACAATCGAGAATATTCTCCGATTACGAGTTCTAGTAAAAGTTTAGAATCTCAAGTAAACATTGTAGTGGTTTGAGATCTTTTTGCAGTAGGATATGACATGTGGCTTGTGTCTTAATAAGTTATGATAAAATTCAATTTACTTTTTTAGTAAAACGTAGCCAAACTTGTTATTACATCTTTTAGTTAGAAACAGCCACTAAAACTTATATTCTGTTTAAATTTGTTTATCAATAAAACGTTCTAAGACAAAAAAAATATGTAATAGGTGGCATAGGTCCTTCTCTACTAAAGTACCTATATATATATATATATATATATAATATATATATATATATATATATATATAATTATATATATATATATATATATATACTCAGGTGCAAAAAAACCGATGCTTGGGTATTATTTGCTGAAAAAAGAAAACGTTTGAAGATATTATTTTTAAATCAGCTATATATGTAAAAGTATATGTTAGATTAGAATAATTGTTACAGATTATCCAAAAAAATCTTTTATTTATAGATACATACGCCAAAACTCAAAAATACAAGAATATTCTAAACTTTCTGAAATTAAAAAAAAAATATTTATAATAAATCAACATCCAGTGTTTCCCCTAGGGCGCTTATAACAGCCTGTACACGTTTAGGCATTGAGGTAATTAACCTCTGGATATCAAATTGGTCCCATATTTCTTGAAGAGCCGCTGTAAGTTCAGCCAAGTTGTTTGGACGTGGTACACATGCTCGAAGACCTCTTCCCATCATATACCATAGATGTTCTATGGGATTGAGATCGGGACTGCAAGCTGGCCAGTTCATACGGACAATTCTTACCTCCTCTATATATTGGTTGACGATTCTAGCACGGTATTAGGTCCAATGAAAGGAGCAAAAGGTACCACATGCTGATCTAAAATACTTGTGTTATGTATCTTGCAGCAGTCATAGAACCTCTATCTACAATAACTAAATCAGTATGGGCTTATGAACTGATACCGGCCCAAACCATAACGGAACCTCCCCGATAACTTATTCTTTCCGCAATATTACATTGAAAATATCGCTCTCCGTGTCTTCTCCAAACCCTTTCTAGGCCCTCTTGTGACCTTAGACAAAATCTTGACTATCTGAGAACAATACATTGCTCCAATCTGCATCACTTCAGTTTTCATGTTCTCTTGCAAAAGCAAGACGAGCTCTGCGATGTTCTATGGAGAGTATTGAAGATCGGGCTGGCCTTCTGGATAAATTACCTTCTACAAGTCGTCGACGAACTGTCCATCTGCTTACAACCACATTTCTCACTTCGCTCAGACGATTTGCCAGTTCAACTGAAGTTAGATGCCGATTTCTCAAATACGATGAGACCAGAAATCGATCATCTCTTTCGGATGTTACCCTTCTACGACCTGATCCTGGTCTTATATAAGACCAGGATCAGGTCGGACCGGTATATATATATATATATATATATATATATATATATATATATATATATATATATATATATATATATATATATATATGGCAAGTTTTCAACCACCGTATACGTTATTCAGTAGGTGAACGAAAGATAACACCTAATTGTTTTGAATAGAAGTGAAAGGCAGTCACTTGGAGACACAGACAGTCTAGCAACTTGGAGCCAAGAGAGTTAGTATGTAAAAGTATATTATAAAGTGTATCAGGTTAGATTATACAATAGCAAATATTGCTTTACTTTATGTCTAGTTTCACAGTCTTATCGGCATACCGTCAATTCAGCGAAAATTATTATTTATTCTCAAAATGTTTTTTTTTTCAAAAAATAATGAAGATTATGTCTTAATAAACCTTAACTCTTTTAGAAGGGGAGGAAATTATAGATGATTATTATAAATTATGGTATGGTATTATGGTATTATGAATTTACTTCATAAAATAATACATATTAAAATATTACTTACATCACTATTGCCCACCAAACTCATGTAATCATCATGAGTATATATTTTTCTAACTGGTTCTGTATGTTCTCTAAGAATCGAACCTCTCCAATTTCCTATTGGAACTGAGCTCCATAGCTAAAAAAGGAAAAAGGAATTCATAAAAGTAATATACTACATACACAGTTGAACCTCCAATAACGACCTGTGTTGGAGAAGCTTCAATTGGTTTCCAGAAAGAGGTAGTCATGTGTTGCATTGCCGAATAAACGTGGTACAAAGATTAACAAAAACAATTTGGTACCATCTATTTTTAATCCTTAAATAGTGGAAAGTGTGTTTACAAAAGTATCCAAAAATTAAAGAGTTGTGGTTAAAAAAAGAATAAAAAACGTCGAAGACGAAGAGGAAGAATAATCTAATCATAATAATTACTACTGTAAATAAAGTATATACCAACCTTTATCATTTTTTCGACACCAGAAGACGCTATAAAATTATTATGGCTATTATACCGTACTTGATTCACTATGGATCTGTGACCTCGTAAAATCATATGAGATGATCCCCATTCACCTAAAAAGCCATTTTAAGATAAATCTATATTTACTCGATTTCACTGAAATTGAAACCTTGTGAAATACCACGGCCACTATTGTAGTAAAATCTCAGAGTTATAGGTATACTCACAATCATCTGTTGGTATCTTCCACATGTACAGATTAAAATCATCGGACCCGCTGAGGACGTATTCATCGTTTTCACCGGCAAAGCAGCACGTCTTCATGGTACATGAATTATAGTACTGAGGATGATAAAACTGGCACAAGGCATTTTCAGATTCGGCTAAATATAAAACGGGAGGCAGGCGACGTCTTAGAGCTAGTACTTTTTTGCCGGTACAGTCGAAGCAAGCGCTTATTCCGCTAGTTTTGCCGCTTTGTGAATCGTAGTGGATCAGTTGACTAAAAACAGTAAAATATTAAATGTTGACACAAACATATATGACGAAGTGTTGTGTTACCGATATGTTATTCAAATAGAAATTTCGAATGTTGTACGTAATGATAATTCATTTATTGGGACCGTGCAAGTTCGGAACAGCGACACCTGGTGTCGTAAATCAGCAAAATTTACTGCGCTTTCATGTTAGATCGAGGTTAACAACCTCGGTCAACGAGACAACTGTCAAGGACGTAGCCCCAAAAAAGAATAAGAAGAAAAAGTAAGATTGAGGTTATGTCGGTATGTTATTAAAAGGTAAATGTTATATGTAGTGTAAATACAAATAAATATATTATTAAATTACAGCATTACTGTTAATATAAAAACTGGATTTGAGAAAGTAAATCACCAAATAACTTTTCAACCAAGCACTGAGTCAAAGGGAAAAGCTTTAGTAGTGGCAAATGTCAAAAAAGAATGGAAGAATTAAGAAAAATAAATTACCATAAATAATGCTAATGCATAAATTAGCAGGTTAAGCCCATGATATCATCATATTGGTTTAAACAATTAATTCTTTCCCTTTAAACTTTTGGACAGCGAATATATCTTAATGCATCTTCAGAAAAACTTGAACTTGATGCATTTTTGTAAACTTCAAAAAAATAAAATTTAAACATGAAACTTGATTTTTGGGTTAAAATGAACTCTAATTGAGTGTTATGAAACTAAAATTTACACTTAAAAGTAAACTTTTATTTATTTCAAACTGACTTTAAAATCGGGCGCAAGAATAATGCATAATTTAGCTTATGTTACTTATGATTTTTTATGATATAAATCTACTTTTTTCTTTGTAGTAATTTGTGCTTCGAAGTTGGAAACGAATAAAACTTAAATTAACAATTTTTTGTTGTATTTTTACAATTTATAACACAGCATTTCCTAAATCCCATTTTCTTCAGTGACAGAAGGTGTAAATAAACAAACAAATATGAAATATGACAATTGACAATTTGAATTTATGAAATCTATGAAATGTGCAGTAAAAAATGCAAGATTTCTCCGCTACTCGCGCACGATCGTTTCTCGTATCACATCCAAGTACTTGCACGTCGCCAATAGTTCGTGTAACCATCTGCTCTAATAGAAAAACTGGTGCTAGTGCCGGGGATCTAACCATGGCTCTCCAGTTTGGTAAGCCAGTACCATAGCCACTGGACTATTGCCGCCAAATTCATAATAAAAAATAAATCATTATCAATCGTATAGATATGATCTGGTGAATAGACCAAAAGCCTTTTCATGCATTATTTAAAATAGTTTTCAGACCCAACATATTGTATAAAATGATGTAGTGTTTTTTGATTTATATCACGACGATAAACTATTATAAAAATATTTCGATTTTTAAAATCTTTTAAAAAAATTACCGATTAATTCTTTCTTAAAGCTACGATATATTATACGCGACATAAATGCACATAATTTAATACTTACTTTTTAGGTTTTCGACAATCCCAAAGGCTGACGCCTTCTTCTGAATTGGCAGTAACGAGGTAACGTGGTTTTATTGGATTGAACATTACAGAGTGAAAGCCACTATTTTCTTGTGCTACTACTTGAACTTCTGGAAAAATATTTTTTTATTGTATATACATACAGATCTTTGCTACCAAAGAGATGAGCATCTCAAATATGAAATGAACTTTGAAAATGCCTAATAATATACTATATGTAATACATAATAAAATACTAAGGGGTTATATAAAATCGGAAGCAAATGGAGACGATTTAGGACAGAAACGAGTGATCTTTCATTATTTCATGATCCCAAACTGCATGATGTTTCCAGAGAAGATTTTGAAGTTACAACTATGACATATGTATGTCTTGAAATATCACTCCGACAGCCGATGCACTAATGTGGTGCATAACAAAAACCCAAACCAGTAGTAATATAAACCTCTATACAATAGTCAAATCACAGACCATCCCATTTACGAGATTTCATTTTAACAAAGCAAAACAAAGCAAACTAGCAAATGACTGAACTAAAAGACCTAAAGAATTAAAAGAACAAAAAAATTATGAAAAACTTTTTGAAATAATAAAGAATAAATACATCGAAGAAACTTATTCTTGTTTTTCGGAATTTAATCATAAATGCTCATTAACCCGGCTCATAGAGTAGTGTCACTTTTTCTCTCATTCAACGAGAGTGGATATCTCTTGCTTCAGTAAGATTTCCCTTATTCGTTTGAAGTAAGTAAGGTCAATGAAATCTTGAGGATACTTCGGTAGATCCACATTCCAAAGGCCCCCGATTTATTTACGGTTTCAACTACATAGAGTTTCTCCAGTAGCATTTTGACAAATGCCAACGAATTTCGAGTTTTATTCGAGAATAACATGTAGGGAGTCCTTTGATTTTTTCGAAAGATTTTCTGACATTTTCTTTTTCTTCTCTTTTATATTCTTTCGAAAGATTTTTCAAAATGAATAAAGGTGTAAAACAGTGTCACCCTACTCATTCAACATAGTGTTCGATGAGTTGATTTGCAATCTTGAAAGAGACAGGACTAGTGTACCGATTGCGGACAGCACAAAGTCTATACGCTGATGATCTAATTCTGCCTGCCGAATTTGCCAAACACGAGACTAAACAACTCAATAGGAATGTAGACAAACGCTGGTAAGAGTGCCGCCATAACGGTTAATGTCAACTGAGTCAATAAGCACTCTTACTCCGCTTATCCCGAGCTTATATCGAGTGAGCTGGTTCAGTACCAAAGCAGCAGGTACAATTCACTTGGTCAGCTCAATTGTATTCATAATTCTGGGTCTAAGCCCGTGCAAAAGTTACTTATCAGGAATACCGATCTGCTGCCGAGATATATACATAAACTCCAAAGCCCCACAATAACAATGAAAACGTTAAAATGTATAGACAGCAGCATACATATAGCTATTAGAAAGATTCTAGTGCTTCAACCACTAGTGCTTAAATACCAGCCATAATGAAAGTAAGAATCACCAAATTGGCACCAAACAGCAACTACCCTCTCTACCATATATAACAGTCTCTTGGAGAAAATCTTTAAAAGAACAGTAACTACAGGAAGTAGTTGAGCACTCATGCTTGGATAAAAAATCCTCCACCCTAGTGATCGAGGTAAGATTTTAAGAGAGCGGTTTAGCTACGAGGAAATCTCTTGCTGACCAAAGGCATCCCATCAAATCCACCACACGAAGAAAGTGCCGGATGGACTGTGTTCGTAACTAGAGTCTAAGCAACGAATTACAGAAATACTTATAAGCACACCGCCAAAAAATTAAAAAAACATTACCAGTTTATTACATAAGTAAGGAAAGTAGCTGAGAAAAAGAAGTTAATTGTAGAGAGAGTCAAGAATTAAATTCAGTGATGAAGCTCTGAAAATGTCTGACCTTGTTAAGGATGCCCACCAGAAATAAGACTGTTTCAGACTATGCACATCCGATGTCAAAAAAAAAATAATATGCGTAATAATTGGAGCTCCGGAAAATTCAAAATTCTCTAAATTTTAGTCTTCTGGTCACTTCACAAAAATACCCTTGGAGCTTTAGAAAACTGATCTCAGACGACTTTATCATGGACGTTCTAGTTGGGCATTGTTCACTTAGATATCATCTGTAAAAATGGACAGAGCAATATACAGATGCTGTGAAAATGTAGTTCTATATGCAACTGCTGTTATATGTTACAACAAATACCTCTCCTAAACTGATAATAATGTTAGTATAAGGGTATACACAACATATCTTTCAGGATATAGTGTTAAAAAGTAATCGAATTTAATCAATCTCCATTAAAGTCCGCAAGAGATACTGCTACGTACATATGATACGTATCTAAACCTATGAAATGTGTAGATGGAGACACTGAAATAACTCAGTCGCCAACTCTAATAGCACGACGCGACGTAAAGAGATTGTTTTCATTTACACAGTTAGCGCTAATTTACCGAATTTCCTGGTCACGATTTTCAAAATCATAAACAGAAAAGTTCTTACCTTGATTAGGAACTTCCCTGATGTCAAAAAGTAATATTCTACCGTCCTCGCCTGCAGTGGCAATAATATTATCGTTCTGTGGGTGGATACTAATTCCATATACAGGTTTATCATGTGGAATGCAATTCACCATACTTCGTCTGCAACATTAACGTAATTATAAACAAAAAAAAACATTATGAAGTACTGTTGGATAGAAAGAGTTGTAATATATTTTTATTGATTAATAAATAAGAAATTAGACCTTATAATTTATAACCTATAATGCAGGCATGACAATTAATTATTTAACAGCAAGCGGTGAGCATATCTTATAACTTATAAGGGAAAGTCTCCAGTGCTTGGCTATATATACTATGGTTTAAAAAAAACTTACAATCAAGTAAACACTTCCGGTGTATTCTATATATTTTTACCAATATAACATTTATAAATGTAAATTATTACTCGTCAAGACTAGGAATGATTTTCGAAATATTGTAATATTGTCCATCAACACAGAAAGCAGACAGAGAAAGTATTCAGAGAGAAAGAGGTGGATAAACGGATAGGCGTGATCGGAGGAGAAACGGCTTGGAAATGGTGCCTTTCAGAACTTTTTGTATGCTGGATGTTACTGTGATACTATGACAAATAGATCTTTGAAAGATTTTGGGTTTTTATTTTGTAGAGTGCCTGGGATAATCTAAATAATTCATCATCATCATCTTGGCTTGACAATCCTCTGTGGATCCTGGTCTCTTCTAAGATTAGTCGCCATTGTGTTCGGTTTCTGGCAACGTGCTGTCATCTTCTGATCTCTAGTATTCCTAAGTTGGTCTCAACTCCATCTAACCGCCTAGATCGCGGTCGGCCTCTGCTTGTTCTTACTATAGGTGTTTCTGTCGTTAGCTTTTTAGCAATCATGTTGTTAGGCATTATTAGTGTCCGGCCAATCTAAGTCGCTATGTTTTAATATCTGGTTATATCTGGTTCATTAAAGAGTTGGTATAATTCGAAATTAAATCTTTTGCGCCACTGATCTTGATCGTTTATAGTTCCAAATATTTTGCGGTGTATCTTACGCTCGAATATTCCTAGAAGTTTTTCATACTTCTGCATTAGAGTCCATGTTTCAGCCCCGTATGTGAGGACCGACTTGCCAGTGTTTTGTACATAATAATTTTAGTTTTTCTTTTGATATTTCTTGAGTGAATTTTTTTTTGGAGTCCGTAGTAGGTATGCCCTATTTGTGAGGCTTATTCGTCTTTTAATTTCTTCGCTTGTTTTATTGGTACTAGTCAGTAGCGAGTCAAGGTATGTTAAGCTGTCAACACATTCAAGGATGTAACTTTCAAATAGTGTTTCCCGTTCCTCATTTGCTATAGTACCTATCTTTAGTAACTAATATTACTTGATTTTGTCTTCGTTGATGACTAGACTAATCTGTTTCGCAGCTGTTTCCAATTCTATGAAATATTGCTTAACATCTCGCTTGTTACGCTCTATTATGTCAATGTCATCAGCGTATGCTAAGATTTGTATCGATCTATTGTAAATACTATTGCCGTCTCTAATTCATGTGTCTCGGACTGCCTTTTCCAAGACAATGTTAAATAGGAGGCAAGCCAGGGCATCCCCTTGTCTGAGGCCATCCTTTATTTCAAAAGGATCGAGAATTTCCTCCCTGTATCCTAACGCTGGCTTGTTAGACATTGTCATTCTCGTTAATCGGATAAGTTTTTTGGTATACCAAACTCACGCATTGATTGGTATAGTACTGTTCTCTTGACACTGTACATCTCTCCAGCTCCATCTTTTTTTTGGCTTTAACTCTTTACTCATTTTGTTTACATTCCTGTAGAACTTTCGAGATTCGTTTTGATTTCTTAGCCATTCCATGTTTTCTAATTGCTTTTCTTCAAGTTGCCTTTTTACTTCTACGTAATCTTTTTTCTTTCCTTCTTAGGATCCGGTATTTCTCCTTTGCTCTTCTTGTGCATCTAGCTTGATTTTTCTTTAGGTATACTCTATTTTTGTTATCTGTTGCTTCTTGGCACCCTCGCCAAACCATTCGTTTTGTCTAACTGGTTTGGTTTTCCCCAATATTTCCGATGCCTTCTCAGTTATTATATTTCTACATTTTAACCACAATTCCTCCAGATTTTCTCCCGCCTCCAAGCTCTCTATTTCCGCGTCCAGTTGTCTCCTATACTCTCTTGCAACGGTTTCAATGCGCAGATTATCAACATTAATTCTATCCTGTTTCATATGTTTATCCTTCTTTAAATTTGAAATTCTTCCTCTGATTTTTGCCATTACAAAAAAAGTGGTCACTATCTACGCTTGGACCGCGGTAGATTGTGACATCCATGAGGTCAGAAGAATGCTTTGCATCTATTAGGATGTGATCTATCTGGTTAACGGATTCGTTGTCAGGTGATTTTCATGTTCCTTTGTATATTATTTTATGGGGAAATCTTTGTCCTCCTAAATACTTCACCAAAAAATATTATATTTAGTTAGTAGTCGAAATTCGGAAGTGGTTGTATCTGTAACTATACCTGCACCTACTGCTTCGGTATTGGAATTTTCCGAATCGTGTGTGTAGAGAGAATAAAAAATCATTGCATTCATCTTTGATTTCGAGAAAATTTTGCACGATTGCTCTAGAAAAACTGTTCAAACAATACAATAGGTAATTAATTCTGTAAGTTTCTAAAGTTTTAATAGGTACGTTAGCCATTAGGAATACTTTGCCAACGACGTAAACCGTAAAGCTAACTGTAAAAACATTAAGTCCATTTTACAGCTTGCAATTATACCTGCAAGACGCAAAAAGGTTACCTAAAGGCATGCTCAGTATGTCGTCAGCTGATTATTGCCTGCAATTTCTTGTAATAGCGCGATAATCGGTTTTGAGGAATTTGTAGGAAGTTTGATTTTTCCACAATGTCTTACTGTTTCATTTTTCCAGAATCTTAAGGTTGTTGCTACTACCGTTTTCCTCTTATATTTGGCTATTTTTAATAGTCTTGACATTTTTAAATTTACTAATTAGTGTTTAAAACAGCAATAAGTAATTCAAAAAAGAAAAAGTTAAGGTTAAGGTTAAGGGTAAAAATTTCAACATTAATTGTATTGCGAGCCGAGTTGCAAGCTGTAAAATCGCACATAAACACCTTGCAATAAATTTGCATGAAAGTTAGTCATGAAAGAAATTGCAGCAAGTTTTCTTGCGAGCTGTAAAACGGTCTTTAGACATTAGAAATATTTTGTCGACCAGCAATTTGTTTTGTAATACAAAATATTTTTTTTAAGTAATACAAATTCTTTATATGTCTCGGCAATTCCACACCGTTATATGAAAACGACAACGTCAAATTGGATGATGTACAGATTTATGGGGAAACGACCAGTAAACCATTCACTTACCTTTCTATTTGATGAATCAAAACCTGATCATCATTACCCCCAGAAAAGATCTTCTCATTACAAGAATCAAAAGTTAAACAGAATATATTGCTTCTGTGGGGCGTGCACATAGTAACAGGGGAACCACGATCGTAAATCGCTTCCGGGATATACCACAGTAAAACTCTTTTGTCATCTCCACCTAAAAAAAAAACATTCATAAACATCTCATATTAATAAAGAGGCATCAAAAATTATTTCTACGGTTCGATACTAGTATCATCTTTGCTAGTATATCCCTTATGCAGAATGACGTAACATTTAGGTTTTGAAGTGTCCATATAAAGTTTGGTCAGAGATCTATATAGTGTATATAGATCTCCCATATTAAACTTTCTCTCAATTTTTATATGCAATTTAAATTATATACAGGGTGAGTCATGAGGAACTTTACATACTTCTACCATATGTAGAGTCCCTCAGAGAGCATATCATGTGGCCACTAAAAAATGTCAACTCCTCTTCTTTATTAATTAACAGGGTGATTTGTGTAATTTACCATTTATTTCATTTTACTGTAGTGTTTATACGGCTCATTTGATTTTTTAAATTTTTGCATGATACAGTACACTACTATCAAGCATTCAACTGGTATTAGCTAAACTAAAAAATTCCAGGTCTGGCTTTGGAAAAATTAATTTAGGGATTCGTATTAAATAGTACACCCTGTATATATTTTTTTTTAAATGCAATAAGTGATTTTCAAACTACATAAATAGCCAATGAAAACGACATATCGTCGTCGACACAAGAAAACCGGTTAACTCCAATTTTTACTTAAAATGAGATTTCACTGCCAACTTTTAGCAAATCGCCTATTCTAGCCATCCGACAAATAATACGTTATTTAAATGTAGATTTCTAATTTTTAAATGTTTACTAGAAAAGCAGTTATCTCCCTTGTCAAAAAATTATGTTTGTAAAACACGTAACTCCGCGCATTTTCTGTTAAGTCTGTTAAGTGATTATGGTCGTTGATTTGATTTTTTGTTTTGGAGGGATTTGTTGTTTTGGAACATGCTTTTAATAAGTTCTAGACATACACATGGACAGAAAAGAGAATGTATATCAAAACGTTGGTAGTATTTGAAGCACCAAAACGGAAGAGGGATAGAAAAAATGAAGATGTATCACGGAGGTCTAAGACATTAAAATATTATTTGAAAATTGGAGAAGATAAACGAATGGTATGCAAAAAAATATTTTTGTCAACTCTGGGCCTTAAACATTGGTTTGTTATGAATTGCAAACAAGAAGATGATTTTGCTATTACAGAAAATTTGGACTTCACATGAAGGAGTTGGACAATCGTTATAGTTTTTTAGATAGCCTGCCGAAAATGGAATCGCATTATTGCAGGAAATAAACTAGTAAATTATATCTAGAACTATTATGGCAAAGCAAATGTCAACTTTACCATATTTACAAAAAGAAATGGTACCTATTTAGAAAAACGAATCAACATTCTCTCTTTATCTTCTTTTAAAAACGCTTTCCTGGAAAAGAGGTTGGCTTTGTATAGACCAAAAACAATGTTTGTGTGAAATATGTGTCTTTTTTAAAACAGGAAATCTTGATCAAGAAATATTTAGTGAACATTAGTTGAAAAATCAAGAAGAGAGACTTGAGAAAATTTAAGATAAAAACAGTGAAGGCATTGTATTGACAATAGATTTACAGGCAGTCCTTATAATGTCCTAAGTCCAATGTTTCTTCCCTAAGTTGACATTAAATGATAAAAAAGTTGACAATCCACAATTTCACATTCTATAACGTACACACAAAACAAGGGCATTGTTTTCTTTGGGATAAGTCGGAGAGGAATCTTACCAGTGCTAGTGTGATCGTATGTATTTTAGAAAAAAATACTGAAGGGAGTTTGTCTTGAGAAAAACGTACGTGAAATAATTATAGCGATGGGTGTACTTACCAAAATCGTAATGTTAGTCTAGCTAATACAATTTAGGAAGGGCACACCCAGATGGAGGCCGACATGATGCACAGTACAATTGAGAGACAATTAAGAGGATGCGATATTAATGTGCCTGGTGATTACATAAAAATATGCAAAAAAACGCGGAAGGAAAATCTATTTGTAGTAACTTGACTATACCATGATTTTCTTAAGGACTTCAGAGCAGTAAACTATGTAAGCAGTATCCGACCGGGTAAAAAAGGGTGTTGCAGTTGTGACAAATATTAGAGGTACAAAATATTCACCACAAGGTATTCATTAAAAGTTGGGATTTGGTGAAAATTGGATTGAACTGCGTTGTCGAATAAATCAGAATGTGATACCCAAGAATTTCGCAGATCTGCCGAAGCTATATACAAAGAGAATACCATTAAAAAAAGACAGATTCGAACATTTTCAGTATTTAAAAAATACGCTTGATTTCGATTACCACTCATTTTATGTCAATTTCCCTCACTAACTTTGTTTTTTTTTAAGTCCTATCGTTGTTGTACTACACTTGTTTTTGTACATATTTATGCGATTTTATTTTAGATTTATTTAGATTAAAATTGTATTTATTGTTAAAAAAGTGAGGCTATTTATTTCTAACGTAGGTAATAAAATAACACTAAATTTTATGTTAAACGTTTTTCAAAAGTATTGGTCTGTATTTCATTATTAGGATATTTTTATGTGTTTCAGATATGTTTTTATAAATCAATAACTAATGCTTTTTGTTAATTTTTTCCAATCCAGCGTTAAAAAAATGCCACGTAACTCCATAGGCACGTCTCATTCCAAAAGAAGAAAAACCTGTAACTCCATATTTTCTGTATTTTTAGCTATATCTGCTAGATTTTGAAATTAAAATTGATATAATTCAGCTTAATATGACCTAAAAACTCAAAATATAGTTTGTTTAATCGTCCTTCTTTATCAAATAAAAGATATCAGTGAAAATGTTACTGTTTTTAGGCTCTCCTGAAAAATTAAGGAAAATGGAGTTACGAGTTTTTCTTGTGTTGACGACGATATGCGACAATGTTGTCGCACTTTTATTAAATTTTTAGTGAACGATCAAATCTTACCAAAAATAGAACAACCATAATGAAGTATCAAATTATAAGGTATTAATTTAAACAAATGTTATAAATTTCAAACATTTTAATTAAAATGAGTTCCTACAACATAATCTAATACGTAGAAAATTAACATCTTTACTGTCACTTTGTATTATCCTCTACTATAGAATCAATTGTTTTTCAATTTTAAATTTTTACTCATAGATCGTATTGGGGCATTATTTTCGATAAATAATAAATTAAATTGATTAAAAAGTCAAACCTCTTGTATGTGTTAGTTTTTGTTGATTGTAAATGATTAAAATTTTATGTCAAATAATAATACATTGCATCAACTGTACTAAATAAAAATAAATCTAAAAAAGTTTAAAATGAAGGTTGGCGTTGACCGTTTGACGTTTCTTGATATTTTATACCCATTGTCATTATTGTCATTATCAATTGTTATTTATGTGTACAAGAATACATATTTCTTCTGTCATATCTACGTTAAGTACATTGTGTTAGATGATAAGTTTTGGTAGAGCTTTTGTTACTTTCGTTCAAAATGCCACATCAGTTTTCGACCACAGAATATGCAGACATAATATTTGTTTATGGATTCTGTAATGGGAATGGTAGGGCTGCTAGTAGAGAATATCGCAGGAGATTTCCTAATCGTCGAACTCCCAGTCATCCAACATTTGGGTCAGTTTTTAATTATTTGCGAGAAAATGGCACTTTTTCTAGTGGAACAACAGAGCGACATGTAGATGAAGCGCAGGAAGATGACATTATGGACGCCGTTACTATGAACCCTACAATAAGCACTAGACAAGTAAGTCGAGAACTCATGTTACCCAATCAAAAGTAAGTAGAGTCTTACAAAAAAATAATCTATACCCATATCACATTCAAATGGTTCAGCGACTACATGCTGGAGATGAGATCGATACGTTGGAATTTTGTAGATGGATTAACAATAATCGATCAACGCTATATAGGACACTATTTACAGACGAAGCTCAATTTACCAGAGACGGGATAAATAATTCACGAAATTCACATGTGTGGGCAGAAGAAAATCCCCATGCTATTCGAGAACGTCGTTCTCAGTTAAGGTTTTCGGTTAACGTGTGGATTGGTGTCATAAATAACCAATTAGTAGGTCCTCACTTTTTTGATGGTCCTTTAACAGGGCAGATCTATTTGAACTTTCTACAAAATATTTTGCCGAATTTGCTTGCCAACGCGAACGTTGCTATCCGAGGGATGTATTTTCAGCATGATGGGGCACCCCCACACTTTTTACTGGCAGTGAGACAACATCTCAATAATGTTTATGGCAACAGGTGGATAGGACGTGCAGGTCCTATTTCGTGGCCTTCAAGATCCCCTGATTTCAATCCCGTTGATTACCATATTTGGGGACGATTGAAGCAACTAGTTTACGCAGTGGATATTAATAACCGATAACAATTAATTGATAGAATTATACATTGTTGAAATACTATTAGAAACGATCCCCAGAGTATTCGTAATTCAATACGTCAATTAACAATTCGGCAACAAAAATGTGTACAGGCCGCAGGGTTCCATTTCGAAAATCTATTTTGAATTATTTTTATTTTGTTACCATTATTGTATCTTCCAGTTCTAATTTATGGGATTATCATAACTATGTACATATTTTTAGTTTTTTTTTTAATTGTTCTTCGTTATTGTTAGTAGTTACTGTTTTTTGTTGTGCAGTGACTCAGTTTATCATTTCAATTAAAATGTTTAAAATTTATAACATTTGTTTAAATTAATTACCTTATAATTTGATACTTCATTATGGTTGTTCTATTTTTGGTAATATTTGATCGTTCACTAAAAATTTAATAAAAGTGCGACAACATTGTCGCATATGTCGTTTTCATTGGCTATTTATGTAGTTTGAAAATCACTTATTGCATTTTATAAAATATATATACAGGGTGTAATATTTAATACAAATCCCTAAATTAATTTTTCCAAAGCCAGTCCTGGAATTTTTTAGTTTAGCTAATACCAGTGTATAAGTAGTGTACTGTATCATGCAAAAATTAAAAAAATCAAATGAGCCGTATAAACACTACAGTA